TCCAGATTTTGACTGGCAGCAGCAATATATTATCATTTTAAACTGGCATATAGGTAAAAGCCAAAAACAAGAGCATCTTCAAATCATATGGGCTTAATCAACTAAAGTTGACATCAAATTTGCCCAAGAAATAGTAAGAAGTGTCAGCTTTTGGCCCCAAGTATCCTGCAAACATATCATTTATTATTTGTTAAAGACACATTTACAAGGTTAAAATATCAGTCTAATCCTAATTATGAAATGAAATCATCTGATAATGCTCCTCAAAATTTTATAATAATTTGATTATTTAGCTAGGTGTAAGTACAACGCTCTTGAATTAAACAACTGAATCCTATAAAAAGTTGCACATGTAAAATGAGAATGCATCCATTACTATTCATAATGATAAGGGTTATTATGATTTGGAGGACACTAAACTAGAAGAAAGATTACGCAAATTTCATTTATTGATACAAATTATTTATTTTGCTTTAATTTTTTAAAATAAGACGCCATCATTTTTAATTCTCAACATATGTTTAATTAAAAATGATTAATAAAAATAAAATAAACGCGCTACAGAAACTGCCAAGCCAGAGGTTTGGTTGCACAATCCACGTGACCGACGTGGAGCCCATGATGAATGCGTAATTACAATTTTAGTCTCCTTTAGTGACAGTCACTTTTATCACAGACGTTATCTTGTTTGTTTGTTGGTTAATTGATCTAACTGGTTCCGTACACTGAGTGACATAACGTGCATGTTGATTATTGACACGTGGCATGTATCAAATTATCAAATAATTTTTTATTAAATTATTATAATAAAGCTTACTTCTAATAAGTGATTCTGTACTCTTTTAATATTCTAAATAATAGAAAATAATACGATTCCTTTATGATTTATATAATTTTTTAATAATAAAATTAATTTTATGTCAAAGACTCAAAGGTATCATGCTCCATGATTGCCATTAATATTTGTTTTTTAGTTAAGCATCAAAATAAACTATATTTTTTATTGTCTAAATCATGTGATTGGTTTACAATAATATAGACATAGCATTATTTGATTAAAAATTTAATTTTAGGGAAAACACAAATAAATCAAAGTAGTTTTTCATTTCTAAATCAAGATAATTGTTATTTTAATTAAATGGATCTAAAAAGTTGAATTAAAGAGAAGAGATGAATCTAGTATTGGTTTTACATATAATTAGACCCATCATGTGTAATTAAAACAAAATAAATTAATACTAATATTATGTAAAAAAAAAAATCTCAATTAATACATGATTATAATTAAAACACCAAACTTAACTAATTTTTTTATTTTTTATTTTTGATGACTGAAATGTTCGGATCAGCTTGCATTCATAATATTTTAAAACAAATTATAAATATAATAAATAACTAAAGGTTAATGAAAGAATAAAACTTTTTTTACCACAGGCTTAACCAATCTTTGCTTGAGGATTCTAAAAAAGTCCGTAAATTTTGATGAATTTACGTGGGCAAAAGGGATTAGCCAGAATTCAATGATTTTAGAAGATCAAAAACATTAATATTATTTATTCCAACTAATTATAAGATGCAATGAACCGAAATGTGCAGAATTTATAGTAATTAAAATTAAATTAAATTACAAAAACCCAAAAATATCAATCTAGTAAACAAAAATAGACAAACTAGATTCTGGGTAACTTAGTGATCTGGACCATGTTGTGGATTCGGGGATTTGTCTGCCTTAACTGTAATATTAACTGCCAAAGGGAAAGAAGAATGATAGATTAGTAATTTCGAAACATGATTAATAATTACAATAAGAATAATAAGTAAAGTGATAAGGCTTGTAATATCCAAGTTCATTGAACATGAACGTGTCCTGCTACTTAAAAGTTGAATTTGCCCCCATTTGTTGCTTCGATTGATGCATATTTAAATTAATCATTTAATTAATTGTTAACATATAAGTATACAAAGATAGAGTTGCAGAAAGGTGTAGTTTGATGCATTGAATTGCCGACCACTAGATGAAGCATGTGGGTAGAGGGACGTTTTGCATAAAATTAATTAAATTGAGCTTTATTAATTCTTTTGATTGGGGCATCAATCACATGTTAGTAAGGAGTTGATGCATGGATCTATTGCCATGCTTAATTAAAGCCTTAACCCCTCTTGAAATTTTCAAATCAGGTTTTAATTGTTTAGTGAAGTAATTTTTTTTATTTTTAATGCAAATAGTTCTACCCTTCAAATCTATATGATTTTTGGGTGAAAACACATGTATTTAGAATACTGCATATGTTAAATATCGGATTCAACCAAATAGGAATTGTTCACTTTGGGTCCAAACTTGTACGGGTAAATTGGATTTCAAGCTCATCCACTAGGGGAATATATGAGATTTGACAAACTCCTTACCTTATAGACCTCATGTCCTTGTGGGATTGTCACACCCATTTGATTGGATAATGAACATACTCTAATAATTAACAATTATCAAATGATGTGAGGTTGTTCCACCTGTCCCATTGGGTAACAAACCCATACCAATTGTTAAAAGATGCACTCGTCTTATCGGGTTGGAAGCTCGTTTCAATACCAATTAACAAATTCTGAGTTCAACCAACTATAAATTTTTTGCTTTGAGCCCAAACCAGCAAGGGTTTGCATTTGGGTTTCACAAAAACCATATGTTACCCAAATGTATTTACTTAGTTAAGGGAACTAACTTTTATGTAATGAATCTCATACTCAATATGGAATATGACGGAGTGACAATCGAACTTTACAAAAATTATTTTAGAATAAAAGCAAAATAATTTATTTTATTCATATAAGTATCCCCCTAATTAATGAAATACCTTGTAGCAAATTTGATTCCCACATCTAAAGGATAAGGATTGATGCAGGAATTTCCTTTATTGGGGTACATATCCTCTAAATTTTGATCTACCTCTCAACGTTGAAGGTTAATCCCAGTGGTCACACGCTTGGGGGCCACTGTTATAACGAGGTACAATTTCAGTACTCGAAATCTCAAGTGTGGTGGTCTATTCTTATTTAATGCAAAAACAAAACTGGCTTCTATTCTATCATAAACGTAAACCCCCTTGGCTCTTTCGGTGAAGGTTTCCCCGATTTATTTATTTATTTATTTTTTAACTGAGATATTTGAGTCAGTTTATGCATATTTTAACTATTTTTCGAGATCTATTGAATATCCTACAAACTTAATATTTTAAATAAGTTACAAATATAATAAATGATTCTAAAATAATTTGAACCCCATAAATCAATAAAGGAAACCAACCTTATTGACTATTAGATGAATTTCTCAAATTTCTGGGCTCGAGTTGGTTTCATTGAATAAAAAGTTATTTAATTTCTTGTAATAGAATTAGTTATAATTAATTAAAGGGTAGTCAACTCATGTACCATGTAATGTAAGTCAATAAACATATTAACTGCTCTTTCTAGGAAACCTTTATCCATCTCCAGGTTTTGGTTAATTAGGTTCTATGATCTGTTAATCACATTTAATGAATACATGTGAAATGTTGTTTTTATCCCCCAATTGTATATTTCTCTTTAAGGTCTATTACAATGAAGGAGGCTATATCCCACTAGTTTAACTTCAACCCGAGACGGGTAAATGCAATTATCTCTTTCTTCATAATTTAAATCTAAATTTGTTTGCTTTTTTTGTAAGTCAAACAATTACACATCAGCTACCTTGTCTAGTTCAACCCTTTTTATAGGATTGACATGAAAAATATGAAAGCATGTACGTTACCCGTTTTCACTACTTTAAATTGACGGATTAAGACTCAATTTCAATTCACACACACTTATAACAAGATTGGCTTCAGATAAGATTTATCTACCGTCAAACATTAATTAAGATACATATAAATTAGTTTGAATATTCTTAGTCATAAAAAAAAAAAATACTATATTTATAACCCAATCTCACAAACTCTGTCTGACAAGCCTTAAACGACACTTTCGATATTTTGCTGAAATTCATTAAAAGAATCGAAAATTACTGTATAAAGGTTATGATTGAGAGTTTGTGAGTTTGAGTTGTGAATAAATCTTTATTGTTCTGAGCATACATGAAACATAATATCTTTTTTAATGAAAATTATTCACCAATATTAACCTTGTTAATTAATTTTTTAGTTAAATAAAAAATGATGTCCAAATTAAAGAAAAAGAAATGTGATTGTTGAATTTTCCACAAAAAAAATTAAAATTAAGATTGAAATTTCTCTGCTACCAAGAAACAAACAAACAAATAAACAAACATCATTGACCTTGACTAAAGTCGAGTTACAATTCAGATTTTCATCATTGCCAGACTTTTACTGTAATTAATTACTGTCATAAAGAATATTTAATGTTATTGAAATACCTTTTAATCTAATTATTAGTAGAATAATTCTGATATCTTGATATTAATCTTATATGATAAATCTAAAAGTATATAAATAAAACCCAGTGAAAATTAATGTATGATCATCCCAATGAAAGAATTAATGAATTACTGTTAAATATTTTTCTTCTTGAAAGAAAGAAAAAGTTAAGAGTAAAAAAGACATATAATTATTAATACTATTGTTAATAGGGATGAATATTAAAACTAGTATTCGATGATAGTTTTAAAGTTTTGAGAGATTAATTAAAATATACGTAAATTAGTACATATTTATGCTGTAAAAAAGAAAAGAAAAGAAAAAAAAACCATAGTTATCCAAATTAAATACAAAGTTTGTTCATAAGACAAGGCAAAGGAAAAGATAAGTTTCAATGGAGAGAAGAAAGAAAGAGAAAGAGTTGATTTGGGTCTAATCTTTAATCTCTTTCTCAGCTATAAATGAAAAAGTAGAGAAAACGCTAACTGTCTTTTTACATCTTTCTAACTTTTAACTCTCTCTAATTTGATGTGAAACTTTTCCTTGCTTCACTCTCTCCTCCCTTAAATATAAACAAAACTATACCTCTATTATTTTCTCATTTTAACTTTCTTTCTCAGGAAACTAATAAACCTTTTCTCTTTCTATCTCCATCTCTATCTCTATCCGCACAAAAATTTATAGTAACTCCTCTGCCTCTCATAAAAGCAGATCCTGTTAAAGATCTACTTGTACACTATCAGATAGGGATATAGGTTGCGGAGGAACAAAAGCTTAGCAAGGCAAAGCAATCGAAACTGAGACAGAGAGATACCACACTCTTACTAAGGTAAAGATTAAAGCTTTAAACATTTCTCATAAACCCTAATAAGCTTTTTTTCTTTTTTCTTTTTTTCTGGGTTTTCCTTTATTGTTTTCAGTGTTGTAATCGACCTCGAGATTTGTGCTTAATGGTTTCTGCCTGATTCAGATCCATTTTTATTTTGTGGGTTTGTATGGATTTTTTTTTTTTTTTTTTGGGTTGTTTTGGGATTTCGGTTTTTGTTGTATTGAATACATGTGTGCTGTTACTTACCAGAAAAAGAAGAAAATATATGTGTGCTGTTATTTTTTTTTTGGGGTGCTTTTCTGATGTTATGGGAAGATCTGATGTGAGCTTTGAATTGGATTGGCATTTTTATTCCCTACTAGTACTGGGGTGTTAAATTTTGATGAGTTGTATTTGATCTCTATGGATGCTGTGATTGATGTGTTGAATGGATTTGAATAAGTCCTTTTGGTTGTTTATTTATGTACTTAGTGAGTAAATACGTTACGAGATTGCTAAATGATTAAAGACTTCGAGTGTGACCACGTTCAGTTAACAGCAAGTCATTTTTCACTTGTGTGAAGTATATTGATCTTAAAATTCCTATTATTTCATCCTTAAAATTCTACATAATTTGTCATTTTGCCTAAAAAAAAAAGTTATGCTTTTGTTTATCAACGAATTTATGTTAATCATTTAATCAGGATTACACGTCAAAGGTGAGTCCGAGGAGGAATCAGCTTGAATTTTTGAAGATTGTATCCGGGCTTCAATTGCAATTATCTTTTATAGAAGTTTACATGAATTGGATGAATATGCTGGTCACGGCAGGGAGATGAAAAGAAAATTTATTGGGGTGACAAAATCACTTTGTTGTGGCTTATAAGTGGATCTGTCTGCAAAATTTAGATTGTTATTGGATGATCAGGGGTAGCTTTGGAATTTGGTTATGTTGTAGCCACCTTGGCAGTGATTGTGCCGTTAAGGGAAGCTTCTGAAGTCATTCTGTACAAAAGTATATATATGTCCTGCATTCTTGGAATGCTACTTGATGCATATACTCCTACAAATAGATTGCTTTCGGATTTACATTGTTTAAATATTTTTAATTGAAGAAGTTACTGATATGCTGGTGATTGACTTCTGTAAGTGTGGCATCCTCCCGCTGTTGATGTGGTGGTAATATGCAGCCATGTAATTTATTTAATTTGGCGCACATACAGGGGTTCTTCAATTGCTTGGAAGTGTAACATAACTGTTTTACTTCACTGGGATTTGCACTTTGTCTGACATACATAGTAATAACATGGAAGCTGAGACCACAAATACTAACCAAAAGCCTGGTCTTCTTAATTGGCTGCTTCCTGCCGTCTTACCTGTGCTTCTCATTTCAATTGGATATGTTGATCCTGGAAAGTGGGCAGCGATTGTTGAAGGTGGTGCCCATTTTGGGACTGATCTGGTGGCACTAATGCTACTTTTCAATTTTGCTGCCATTCTGTGTCAGTACCTTTCAGCTCGTATTGGTGTTGTCACAGGAAGAGATCTTGCTCAGGTATCATTCCTTTCCTTTATGATGCTGCTTATGCTGTAGCAATTGTTACTTTTGATTAATTATTGGTAATATCTCTGTGTCTCTCTAACATTTTTTTGTTAGCAAATTTTACTAAATTGTTTCATTTTCTTTGTGACAACAATAGATCTGTAGCAGTGAGTATGACAAGTACACATGCGTACTCTTAGGAGTTCAAACAGAGCTTTCTGTGATTTTGCTAGATCTTACTATGGTAGTTTTCTTATCCTGATTGTGATGGAACTAAGACATCTATCATGATTTTTTGTTTACCCTTCACAAACTTCTTATCTTGTTGCTAACTTCTGATCTTGCATATTTTTTCTCTAGGTTTTGGGGATTGCACATGGGCTTAATCTTTTGTTGGGGTTGGACTTGTCCACCAGTGTCTTTTTAGCAGCTGCTGACGCTGTTTTATATCCACTTTTTGCTGGACTCCTGGTAAGGTTGTGCTTTTTCAAATTCTCACCCAAACCATTTGGTAGGTAAGCTAATTGGTGTTGAATTTTCAGGAGAACAAGGCAAATTTCCTGTGCATAAGCATGGCGGGTGTCCTATTGCTTTCTTATGTTCTTGGAGTGCTAATCAGTCAACCAGAGACTCCACTTTCTGTGAATTGGATGCTAACAAAGTTGAGTGGGGATAGCGTATTCACTCTAATGAGTCTCCTAGGAGCAAGTATTATGCCTCACAATTTTTATCTCCATTCTTCTATCATTCGGGTACATCTCTCTCCTTCCTGTACATGAATCCTTGTGTGTCTATGTTTAAGAGCATGCATTTTTGTATCTTCTTGTCTGTGTTTGGGGTCAGATTGTTTCAGACTTATGGGATCACCATGTGATACTTGAACTGATCTAGGATCTGACATGTATGTAAGACTACTTTGTTTGGTTTGGGCTTTGACAATGAATTTGGAAATGCAGTCTGGAGAGGATTTCCTTTTGACACTGATTGCTATTCATAATGGTGAATGTTATTTCATGTTATGAACTTCATGACATGTTGATGGCCACATGTGGTTGCATCAGCACGTCTAATTATGTGTGCTCGAAGAAACGTGTGACTGGGGATATACTTGGAAGTTAGGACATTGAGCGGTAGATATTTTCTGGACATTTATTTTTGAAATCTCTCTCCATATAAAAGTAACTTGAAATTTTATCAAGCCTGTATTGCTTTTCTGTGGGTAAACTATTATGGATCTCTAATGTGATTTTGTTTTCTACGTCTATCTTTCTTTCTTCTTCACAGACGTGTTTGTGATTACTGCTTGGGAGTGTTAATTATTGTATTACATAGTTACATGTTGCATGTCAACATCTTTTGGGTGAGTTTCGAGCCAATCAGTGTCATTTTAATTTTTTCTGGGCATCTGTTGAATAAAGCATCTGAATTCCAAATGACCTTGGTTTGATTATTCCTCTCATGTCAATTAGTGCTCAAATTGTTCATATTTTTGGATTGTGAGCATTCCTGAATCATTACAAATACTAGCTTTCCTTCTGTAGATTTTACTTTTTGTTTGTTAGGAATGATCTCGAATCAGTGTCCCTTGTAGATATGTCACTGCTGGTGTTTTACTTAGTCATATTGGTGCTCTGTTTGTTGATTTTTTAATAAAGTTTTGGAAATAATCTTCTTTCATTTGAAATTACCCTCCAGCTGTATCTCAGATCCAGATGCTTGTGCCTTGTATACTTTGCATGTAGGAACTAATATAGTTCACTTCCAATTTTTTTTATTTTTTTTTATTTTTTATTTTTTGTGTTTCTTTAAATTCAATATAATTCTTGTTGTATCTGTTAACTTTCTAAAAACATCCATTCTCTTATTCCTGCAGCAGCGTCAAGGGTGGCTAAAAATCTCCAAGGGCACCTTGTGTCATTATCATTTTTTTGCCATCTCATGCATCTTTTGCGGCATTTATCTGGTGAATTTTGTGCTGATGAACTCGGCAGCAAACGTTTTCCACAGTACTGGTCTTGTTTTGCTTACTTTTCAGGATGCGATGGATCAGGTTTTATTCTTTCATTTATTTATTAAATTTTCTTATTTCATAAGTAGTTGCTCCTCATGTCTTTCCACAATGTTTTAAATTTCATCCATAGCAGTTTTATTATGTTGATGCATCCTAATTAAATGTCCTGTTTGTACTTGTACGTTGATGAACACAGGTATTTAGGAGCCCAGTAGCCCCATTTGTATTTCTACTGGTTCTATTTCTTTCAAGTCAAATTACTGCACTGACCTGGAACCTCAGCGGACAAGTAGTCTTGCATGACTTCCTCAAACTGGACATACCCAATTGGCTTCATCGTGCTACAATCAGAATCATTAGCATGGTCCCGGCTCTTTTTTGCGTTTGGACTTCAGGAGCTGAAGGAATATATCAGTTGCTCATATTCGCACAGGTGATGGTAGCTCTATTGCTTCCATCTTCTGTGATCCCCCTTTTTCGGGTTGCCTCATCAAGGTCAATAATGGGTGTCCATAAAATTTCTCAGTTTCTGGAGTTCTTAGTTCTGATAACATTTGGTGGGATGCTAGTCTTAAAGCTCATGTTTTTGGTTGAAATGATATTTGGTAACAGTGACTGGGCTGGTAATTTGAGGTGGAATATAGGGAGTAGTGCATCTGTCCATTTTGTTGTCCTTCTCATCACTGCTTGTGCATCACTTTGTTTGTTGCTTTGGCTATTGGCTACTCCTTTAAAATCTGCAAGTTCCCGAAGTGATGCTCAGGTGTGGAGCTGTGATAAACAAAAAGTATCTGCATCCTTTATTGAGGGGGAGGAAAATGAGATAAATGAAATTAGATATCATGGAGAGGGACCTGTCCAGAGGCAGGAATCGATTCCAGCAGTGAAAAAGTCCACAGAAAGTCAATCATATACATCTGTTACAAATTTTGATCTTGATTTGCCTGAGACAATCATGGAGTCTGATCAGGAAATTCATTCAGGTACCATTCAGGAAAATCGTTCTAATATTACATTTCCTAGCCCTGCAATATGTCATCAAGAGGAATCAGCATCTACAGATGGTTCCTTGGCTCTCTCAAATGTGCCTAAGGAGGTTACTGGTAATGACCTTTTGGGCACCAAGACGTTGATGATTGAATCACCAGCTCCTCCAGAGAAAACAGTGGGTATAGAAGGAGATTTACCCACTGAAAAGAATGATGATGAAGGAGATACCTGGGAGGCTGAAGAATCATCCAAAGATGTTCCTGAGAGTACATCATCTTTCATGTCTGATGGTTCAGGTTCATTTAGGAGTCTCAGTGGGAAAAGTGATGAGAGTGGGAATGGTCCTGGAAGTCTTTCAAAATTAGTGGGGTTGGGGCGTGCTGCAAGGCGTCAATTAGCCTCAGCTCTTGATGAGTTTTGGGGGCAGTTATATGACTTCCATGGGCAAATGACTCAAGAAGCTAAGGCTAAGAAATTGGACATATTGCTAGGGGTAGGGGTTGATTCAAAGCCTATCTCTTCGTTGAAAGTGGACCCTACCGTAAAGGAATTTAGTGGTTTTATCCCATCTGTAGGAGGAAGGGGTTCTGATTCTATGTTAACTTCAAGTTTCTACGACTCTCCAAAACAGCAGAGGGTACAAAATAGTGACTCAGCTTATGGAGTTCAAAGAGGATCTTCCCAGTTATGGTCCAACCACAAACAGTTGTTAGATGCATATGTTCAGAACTCCAGCCGCATTGTTCATGATGCTGGTGAGAGGAGGTACTCTAGTTTGCGCATTCCATCAGAAGATTCTGGTGAGAGGAGGTACTCTAGTTTGCGCATTCCATCAGAAGACTCTGGTGAGAGGAGGTACTCTAGTTTGCACATTCCATCGGAAGACTTTGGTGAAAGACGATATTCTAGTTTGCACATTCCAGCAGATGACTCTGGTGAGAGACGTTACTCTAGTTTGCGCATTCCATCGGAAGACTCTGGTGAGAGACGGTACTCTAGTTTGCGCATTCCATCGGAAGACTCTGGTGAGAGACGGTACTCTAGTTTGCGCATTCCATCGGAAGACTCTGGTGAGAGACGGTACTCTAGTTTGCGCATTCCATCGGAAGACTCTGGTGAGAGACGGTACTCTAGTTTGCGCATTCCATCGGAAGACTCTGGTGAGAGACGGTACTCTAGTTTGCGCATTCCATCGGAAGACTCTGGTGAGAGACGGTACTCTAGTTTGCGCATTCCATCGGAAGACTCTGGTGAGAGACGGTACTCTAGTTTGCGCATTACATCGGAAGACTCTGGTGAGAGACGGTACTCTAGTTTGCGCATTCCATCGGAAGACTCTGGTGAAAGACGATACTCCAGTTTGCGGACTACACCATCCTCCGATGCCTGGAATTATCAGCCAAATACAGTACACGGTTGTGACATTGCACATCTCAGTCGAATTGCTAGGGAAAGAAATTCTGATTACCTTAATGGTCAAAGGGAGTATCCAGCCCCGAAATCCCCTTCTTTGGTGCCTACAACCTATGTAGATTCACTTGCTTTTGCTATGGGGCAGCAATTGCAAAATGGTACGAGCTCTGTCCAAGTGTCTGGATACCAGAACTTTACAGTATCTAGAAATAGTCCATTACAATCTGAAAGATCTTATTATGGTGCTTCCTCTTCTGGACCTGTTGATAGTGTAGTAATGTCTGCAAATGCAAAGAAATACCATAGCTTGCCTGACATATCGGGTCTTTCTGTTCCCCTGCGGGATCAATATATGGCCAATAAGGGCACTCAGTGGGATGGCTCAAGTGGATACAAATCATCTGTTGGTCGGGCAAGTTATGAGCCATCTCTGTACTCAAATTCTGGATCCAGGGTGGGAGCTCCTTTGGCATTTGATGAGCTTTCTCCATCAAATGTATATAGAGATGCTTTTCCCGTACAGTTAAATTCAAGTTCGAATACTGGATCCCTTTGGTCTAGACAGCCTTTTGAGCAGTTTGGTGTAACTGATAAAAGTCGGACTGTTGGTGAAGGACTTGGAAATAGGTCAAATGCAAATTCTCAAGAAGCTACATCCATTGTAAATTCAGAGGCCAAGCTTCTTCAATCTTTTAGACTATGTATTGTGAAGCTTTTGAAATTGGAAGGATCTGAGTGGTTATTTAGACCAAATGATGGGGCTGACGAGGATTTAATCGATCGAGTGGCTGCTAGGGAGAAGTTTCTATGTGAGGCTGAAGCCAAGACCAGAGAGATTCAAATGGCTGAATCTCAATATTTGTCTCCTGAAAGGAAGGTTCCTAACACAGTGAAGAATGATGATGCTGGTTATAACAACTTTCTGATTTCCTCAGTTCCAAACTGTGGGGATGGCTGTATATGGAGAGTGGATTTGATTGTAAGCTTTGGGGTCTGGTGCATTCACAGAATTCTTGGCCTGTCACTCATGGAAAGCCGGCCTGAGCTGTGGGGAAAATACACTTATGTACTAAATCGCCTTCAGGTACATTTTGCAAACCCTTTCTAATCCATTTAGGTCAAGTAGCACTTGCAAGAAGTGACCTCTGTTTCTGTTGTAAGGTGATTGTCTTGGTTACCAATTGACCAAGTAGAAAAACCATCATATTCTGTTAATATTTAGGGGGTAATGATTTTATATCCACGCTCCCACATGGGAAGATCTGCCATGATGAATTTGTCGGTCTGATGTTATGGAAATTTCAACTAGTTATTATCCCTTTTTGGGGGAATCTTTTAAATGTCTTCATTTGACACTGATGTTTCTTTATTGACAGGGTGTTATAGATCTGGCATTCTCAAGGCCTCGCTCATCAATGACCCCTTGCTTTTGCCTTCAAATTCCTGCTGGGCATCAGCAAAGGTCAAGCCCGCCTATTTCAAATGGTATGTTGCCCCCTACTGCAAAACCAGGAAGAGGGAAATGCACAACTGCAGCGATGCTTCTAGACATCATTAAGGACGTAGAGACTGCTATATCTTGTCGAAAGGGACGAACAGGCACTGCTGCTGGTGATGTGGCTTTCCCAAAGGGAAAAGAGAATCTGGCATCTGTTCTCAAACGCTACAAACGTCGATTGGCCAACAAACCTGCTGGCAATCATGACACTTCTGGGTCACGGAAGGTAGCAACATCAGCTCCATATGGCTCATAACTTATGTCCACAGCCTCAACTGGATCAATGATTTTTGAGCTTCTTGATTTTCAAAAGTAGCTCAAACTGTATATGAGGATTGCTCGGTTGTTACAAGACACTCTCACTTGCAGTCTCATGTGTATTAAAAAGTTCATGCTGCAAATTTTATGGCCATGTATGTTATATATACATAGGATAAACATTATTGGATATGTAATTGCAGCAGAATTAATGAAAATGGTTAAAGAAAGATGGAAATTGATTAATTGCTGCAGATTTTGTAGTCCATTTAGTAGGTGGGTCATTTGTTTGCATTATACAGTGTTTTCAGTGCATTTTCATACCATTATAGCAATAGAGTAATGCTACAGTCACCGGAAGTTGTGCATTGAATCTGTGCACCGAATAACGTATCAAAATCTTAACCGTTGATTAATATTAACTGATAATGAATCAACGGTTAAGATTTTGTCACATCATTCGGTGTACAGATTTGGTGCACAATCTTCGGTGGCTTTATCATTTTCGAAAGCAATATTGTAAAAATGTTTTTCTGTTTTATAAACTTGTTGAGAGGAGCAAGATGTGATAGTGAAACATTTCTCTAAAGAAATATTTATAAAATGTTGTGGCTTAAATACTTTCTATAAAACCCTTCACACTCAAATAAGATTTCTGTTCTTATTCTATGCCACAATTTAATAGAGAATATGCATGTCATTTCAAAAGAATCCTCAAAGGATTTGAGTGCACAAAATAACGTTAACTTGACAATTAACATACAAAGCAAATTATAAACCCTGATATTTAAGTGATATTCTTGTTGGACAGAATCTATAAAAAAAAGGTAAAATCCGATTGATTTATGGGAATTTGATATATATATATTCATTAAATACAAATATAAATAATGGGATGAGGTGATGTATTGCGGTGAAACATCGAGAGAGACCCGTGGAGCATTCTCGATCTTCTAATAAAAAGCACCGCATACAACATACAGATACTGATCAAAACCATTTTCCGTTTCATCAAGAATTGCTTAATTCAATCATTCAAAGGTACGCAGTTACTGTTTTTAATTATCTTTTACTTCTTTGTTATTGCTATTACTTGGATTTAGTGATACCAAGCAATCAGAGGGAAAAGCCTGCAGCTTTTTTTTTTTTTTTAATCGAATTTGTGGAAAAATAAATTTCTTTTTAGTAAAATTAGTAGGATATTCTAGGAATTCAAGGGAAGAGTTCCTTTATTTGAGTCCAAAGAAGGAGGTCCTGGAGAAGTGATATCCAGATGGAAATGATTTGGTACAAGGGTGATGAACAATTCAGGCATTCATTAATGTCTGACATTCAGCCCATAACTTAGATATGCTTGAGGCCAGGAAGAATCCCACGTTGGGCTGATCTTTTGCAGCTTTTGTCTTCAGTTGTTATTCTGGAAGTAATTAAGAATTTCCCATATTTTACAAAAAAATCTTGGGTGGAATTAACATATTATGTCATCTGTTTGCCTGTTTAATTTGTTTTTGAAATCTTGAATCATATGTAAGGGTTCACAATAAAGAAAGTGTAATTGATGAACATACATTCATCTCTCTCATCCAAGGTTGTTTCATCTTTTTCACTGCAGAAGAAGGTGAAGATGGGTTATGTGATAGTTGTATCTCTGCCAGTGATATTGTTCATATTAATTGTAGCTCTTGCATTTTACCTTCTGGGTAGAGAAAGAGGCAGAAGTGAAGTCAAAAGAACTCAACAGCATTATGGGCCTCCTCTTCCTGCACCACCTCCAAATCAACTCCAACCACCAACACACCCTGATGAGGAGAAACCCTCACACTCACACTCTCAGGTTTAGAATTCTAAAAGGCAAGGGATGGTTAATGTGTACATTATGACTAGAGTTCATTATTACATCATGTGTTATTACATTTCACCAGAAGAAGTATCAACTTCTTCCTGATAATAATGGTTTACTAATTTCAATCATAGTTGGGCTGTTGTTACTTTTTTGTTTGATTCAAACTGGATTATCAGGCTTTCAATGAAGAAATTGGGTTTGCAGATAAACTGAACCTTAAACTCTCCAGGGCCCAATCTGATTCCACTATGGAATTTGAAATAAACCCAGGTACAGCTTGCTTAAGCCTAGCAACTTTCAAGCAGTATATATAAAATCCAAAAATCTACTGTATTTTTCAAAACGGAGTCTTCGGCCGAATTGCATTTCTAATCCAACCAAATATTATATCAAAAATAATATTTTTTAGGATATTAAATTTTGTTTCTTTCTATGTAATAATCAACAATTAATTTATTTTACTCTATATTTTTATATATATTAATTAAATATTAAGAATGATATATAATAATTACTTTAAAAATTATACTAATTTAATAAAATTAAATATTTATTTAATCAAATAAACATTACATTTAATATAAAAAAAAATTACATCTAATATAAAATGATGTAAAATAAAAAAAATTACTGTATTTAGTTACTGAGAAAAGCAAATTAGTGTTAATTTTTATTTTGAATTATTATAGTTTAATATTTGCATTGAATAAAGTTTTGTTTTTAATTTTGCATCATCTTTTGAATCATATTAATATTTATGAATTTATTATTATAAATAATAATCAAATTAACATAAATACAAATGACAAAATTTAAATAAAAAAAATAATTTTTATAGTGTTTGAACAATGCCACACCAAATTGGTATACATGAATAATACTACACTAAATTTGGTGTAACACTACATTGACACCAAAATTGGTGCAATGTTTGGAGGCCAAACTTCACTCCATTTTTACACCAAAATAAGGTAGGTTTGGAGATACCCATAGAGGGCTTGTTTTGTTCTAGGCTGCCATTATTGAAAGGCCAGCAGAGAGTTGAACTTAGGCTGCCATTATTGAAAGCCAACAATTAGGGGGTAGTCAATCATTAATTTTACTTGTAAAGTTGATTTCTTCAACACTTAAAAAACTTCCTGCCAATAAAGAAAATTGATCCCTTAGTTTGGTAGGATCTTTTGCAAGTGTACAGAAATTTCCAGGCTGCACCTTCCACACATCAAGGTTTGAGATATTATACACAAACAATCATATGTTAATTAAGTGAGTTATTTTAACTTGGCATTAGACAATAAATTACCTAACTCAAGGTTGGATTTTCTCAAGACATGATCATGAATAACTTTTTCCTGCAAATTATAAGCACAATTTGGAGAGCTAAAAGTTAAACTCAAACAATCAAATTAAGCAAAATTATTTTGTTGATGTTTTAAGATAACAGCTCATTGTTTAGAAACCAGAGAAACATGTGATGGTTTAGATTATAAAGTAAATAGATGTTGACCCTTCAATGAAAATAAAAGGTTATAGTATAGAATCTAATGAGATTTAAATTTAGATTCTATATTAAATCAAACAGCATTGATAAAGACTTTCAACTAACAATAATACATGGCTCCTGATTATTTACGTGTGGTAAATCTCTTGTCCTTTTGTCTTCCTATTCTTACGAGAGAAAGACTTTTATCCAACCTGAGGTTTCGATCCACTTTCGCGTTTTAACTTCCTGAGTTTACCAAACATTTATATAGTCGGATAATTACAAGGATTTTACTCTTTAAAAACCAGAATACCTCTCATTCAGTGGGATATATCCCCGTACTCAAAACTGTAGGACTTAGATAATAAACCTAAATCCCGGGGATAAATGTAATTGACACTTAGTCATGGGTTTCTTTTGTTCTTCTTCTTCATAGTGATGTGCGTGGATCACATTCTTTTACGTGCAAGTCATTGGCTGGTATATATCTTCTGAAAGCTACTACAGGATCTTCCATTAAAGCAAAAGTAGGCTTAGAGTCATGTCAATCAAGAACATGATCTACATATATATNCTTTGTTTTTACACCAAAATAACGTTGGGTTGGAGATGCACATGGGGGAAGTGTTTTGTTCTAGGCTGCCATTATTGAAAGGCAGGCAGAGGGTTAAACTTAGGCTGCCATTATTGAAAGCCAACAATTAGGGGGTAGTCAATCATTAATTTTACTTGTAAGGTTGATTTCTTCAACACTTGAAAAACTTCCTGCCTATAAAGAAAATTCATCCCTTAGTTTGGTAGGATCTTTTGCAAGTGTACAGAAATTTCCAAGCTGCACCTTCCACACATCAAGGTTTGAGATATTATACACAAACAATCATATGTTAATTAAGTGAGTTATTTTAATAATGTAACTTGGCATTAGACAATAAATTACCTAACTCAAGGTTGGATTTTCTCAAGACATGATCATGAATAACTTTTTCCTGCAAATGATAAGCACAATTTGGAGAGCTAAAAGTTATACTCAAACAATCAAATTAAGCAAAATTATTTTGTTGATGTTTTAAGATAACAGCTCATTGTTTAGAAACCAGAGAAACATGTGATAGTTTGGATTATAAAGTAAATAGATGTTGACCCTTCAATGAAAATAAAAGGTTATAGTATAGAATCTAATGAGATTTAAATTTAGATTCTATATTAAATCAAACAGCAGAAATAAAGACTTTCACCCAACAGTAATACATGGCTCCTGATTATTTACGCAACTTGATGGCGGTCTATTGTGGTAGCCAACAAAATATTAAATCCCACGACTTCTTTTAATCTTGTCCTATTCTTACGAGAGAAAGACTTTTATCCAACCTGAGGTTTCCTTTTAAAATACTAGATTTACCAAACATTTATATAGTCGGTTAATTACAAGGGTTTTACTCTTTAAAAACCAGAATACCTCTCATTCAGTGGGATATATCCCCGTACTCAAAACTGTAGGACTTAGATAATAAACCTAAATCCCGGGGATAAATGTAATTGACACTTAGTCATGGGTTTCTTTTGTTCTTCTTCTTCATAGTGATGTGTGTGGATCACATTCTTTTACGTGCAAGTCATTGGCTGGTATCTTCCATTAAAGCAAAAGTAGGCTTAGAGTCATGTCAATCAAGAACATGATCTACATATACAGTATATAATTTCTGGAACTGGTCTTTATTATTAAGTAATTATTATGTATATGTCAATATATACAGCTTTGATTGCTCATGAACCTATTTACATAAATTAAAAAAAAATTGGGGTAACGAGTGGTAGGTGGTGTGTTGCCTCAATTCTCATGACTCACACTTCTGAACCTACCACTCCTTCGTGCAGCACATTCAACAATCAGAAAGTAACCAAAACATTTTCTTAAACAGT